ACATAACCGTTGCCGGCGGTCCGCCCGTGGCCCGACCCGGCCCGGCCCGGACCGCCGGTGCAAATTTTTTTTTTTCTGGAACCGGGATCGAACCGCGGCCCTTGCGGTTCGGTCCAACGGACCGGCCCGAATATGGCGGTCCGGGACGGTTTGGTACCGGTTGGCGGTCTGGGCCACGGGCCGGTTCGGCCCGTGGCCATGTCTACTCCCGTGCCATTTTAGTTGACTAAACTGATTGACAAAATTGACACACTCTCCCATACAAAAGTTCATGGTTCAGGTCCACATGGAAAGGAAAAACAAAAATGAGATGGCAAAAGTCAACAACTGACCCCGTGTTTTCTAGAACCTACCCACTCTCCAGAGGAAAATAAAGGTGACTCTACAGCTGATCACGGTAACAATGTGCCTCCAACAAACAAACAGCTACAAAATTCGAATAGAAATTTCCTGTATATATAAAGTAATTAATAAATATCTTTAAACCTATTGTATATACAAATCTGAATTAAATCCCATTTCATATTTAATTCTCCTTTATAATTTAAAGCCCCCCCAATTGGCCTTGACCAATTCCTTTTCTTAAAGCCAACATTTTCAACTTTCTTTGTTGCTCACACACACACACACTCACACACAAACACAGAGAGAAGAAAAAAAAGAATTAAAGCCCAATGGAAAATCTTTGTGGTTTGCTGAAAATTACAGTGGTGAGAGGGGTAAAGCTCGCGGTTAGAGACGCCAGGAGCAGCGACCCCTACGTGATTGTAAGGATGGGCAAGCAGGTTTTTTTCTTTTTCTTTTTTCTTTTTATATTTACTTATTTTATCCTTCATCAGCTTCTTGATTTTATTTATATTAAATTGTTAAATTAAGTACTGTGAGTTCTATTGGCCGAATTATTTCATTTTTTTTTCCTGTTCGATGATACACCTAATAATGTCTGTTTCTTGCCTTGGTTCCTATATTTTGATTTTCCTTTGTGAAAATAGTGTCTGGATTGTTACATTTTCCGAATTGTTTTACTTTTTCCCTTTTTTTTTGAAAGATCACTTCCTAATATTTCGAAACATATTCATCGACTGTTCTTATTCTTTTTCCTTCAGTGATGTGTTGATTATTGTTAATTAAAATCTGCGTAAATTGATGTTCCTTGGTTGGTCAACTCCATAGCAAAACCGATTGTACTTGAGAAATTGTATTGGGATTTAATTGGTTGGTAGAGTTGTTAGGAAGCTGTAATTACATAATTAATTAGAATAGGTTTAGTATGGTGGGTGCCAGTTCAGAGGGAATAAGACGTGCCTTTAGTCAGCTTGTATTATTAGGGGAAAATAGCAATTTTAGTCATGTTGGTTTGATCCACTGGCGTTTTTAGTCCGAAGAATTGAACATTTTTGCTATTTGATCCTATAATTTTAAAATTCAACGCAGTTTCAGTCATTTGGGACTGAAATCGCAACAAAATTTAAAATTATAGGACTTAAATTGCTAATAATAAATCCTTGGAATGAATTTTTTATTAGCAATGTAAGTCCTGTAATCTTAAATTTTGTTGCAATTTCAGTCCAAATGACTGAAATTGCAGCAAAATACTAAGTTACAGGATCAAAAGACAAAAAGTTAAAATCTTGGGACTAAAAATACTATGACGTCAAATCAGCAGGATTAAAAATGCAATTTTACCTATTATTTGCTACAGCATCTGGGTTCAATTTTGTTGACTTGTATGGTAATTGACATAAGTTTTATAAAATGTGGAGAAATAAGATAAAATATTCTAGAAATTTTACTCAAACTTCAGGCTGGTTTGATTATATAATGCAATGATCAAAAGTCCAGGCTAAGTTTGGCCAAAACGAACACTGTTTTATAACGCTACATTACTTACTTTGGTGCAATTTGGATTGCGTGACCAGAAATTAAAGACTCGCGTGGTGAAAAAAAATGTAAATCCCGAGTGGAACGAAGAACTTACATTAAGTGTGACCGATCCAAGTATTCCAATCAAGTTGGTAAGTTTTTCTCCTTTTTTTCTCTGTTATATCTATATGTGGTGCTTGGAAACAATTTCATTCCATTTTCATTGAGCTATTTTATATTTATATATAAGTACTTATCAAAATTAAGTGTTTATCATATATCAACATTATGAAATACTTTTCTTTATCAGTTCGTATATGGATAAAATTGGAATTTAATTTAAACAATTAATTAGAATCAAGAAAAAGTTCAATCTAAAACGACATTTAGAATTTAATCGAAATGAGCACTGCGAATTCATTCTTGCCAATAAATCTTATTGTATTTACATCTAATCGGATTTTATTATTACGTGTTTGATTTAATTGCAGGAAGTATATGATCACGACACGTTCACACGAGACGACAAAATGGGGGATGCCGAATTTGGAATAAAGGAGTTTATGGAAGCTGTGAAGATGATGAACTTAGCGAATGTCCCGAGTGGAACAGTGATTGCAAAAGTGAAGCCAAACAGGGAAAATTGCTTGTGTGAAGAAAGTCACATTGTCTGGGAAAATGGCAAAGTCACTCAACATATGATTCTCAGGCTTAGGAATGTTGAATGTGGTGAAATTGAGGTCAAATTGCACTGGGTCAATATAGTCTAGTTTATATATAAGTTTTCATATTGGGTGGCTAAAAACAAGCTAAAATGACTTGTGATTTGTGAATTAGGTTTTCAGTGCTTGTGGATGAATTTGTGGTTTTCTTATTTTTCATATTTGTGTACTGCGCAATTGAATATTATATTTTAAAGTCCTACTGCAGAGCTTCTCGGTGAAGTTTCTCCATTTTACAATGAATACGGTAGTACTTTTAACGAATGTAAGCAGAAAGTGATTCTGATCTTCTAATATTGAATGTTGTAAGGATTGAATATTGCAGATCGACGATCGAAAGCAAAGAGAGAAGAGAGAACAAATTTCTGTATTGAACGAATATGCGAATCTGAAAAGTATAAATTGTATCTAACACTAGAATTTGTTGTATTTATAGCTTGTACAATTTAAAAGTGCTACTTGTCTTTGTACGAAACGTGTTTCTAT